CCCTCCCCCGCACCCCCCCCGACAGACTGTCAGTCACAGTCTGTGTGTGCTGCCCCCCCAACAGCCACACATATGTGGCAGCAGACACACACAGACTGTGACAGACTGTCACAGACCGTTTGACAAACACACACACAGACTGTTTGACACACACATACAGACTGTTTGACACACTCATACACAGACTGTGACAGACTGTCACAGACTGTTTAACACACACGCAGACTGTGACAGACAATGCAGCACACACAAATTGTGACAGACTGTCACAGACTGTTTGACACACACACACACAGACATTCAGTTGCTGCACTCACACACACACACACACAGTGTCACACACACACACACACACACACACACACACATACACTCAGAGGAGGAGGAGTCCAGGAGACGAAAGCACACAAACAGAACACAATGCGAAAGCACTTCAAAGCAGCTTTTCAAGGCCTCGGTTAAAGACAAGCAGGAAGCACAATGGTCCGGAATGTGGAAGACAACAGGTCCTCTTTCTCTCTCTCTCTCTCTCTCCCTCAGCAGCAGTCTCTGTCCTCCTCTTCTTCGACCTATGCAGTGGTGCACTCTCCCCGGAGTCATCATCCGACTCTTCTGCCGCTGGTGCCGCAACGTGCTGTTTGTCCTTGCGTGACCGACCTCTCCCACGTCCTGAAGTGGACCTCCCTCGCCCTGTGCCTCGTGCAGTGCCTCCTCTCCCACGTCCCGTAGCGGACCTCCCTCTGCCTCGCTGAGCACGATAGGCGAGGGGATCCCATACACGGCCAGGATGTGCTCTGTGCTGCCTGACTAGAGGCGACTGGGGACTGGGACCATAAATGCTCGCACCGCACTGAGATGTTGCACGCCCTCCTTGTGCCGCTCCACCACCACCTCCTCCTCCACGTGTTGCTCCTCCACGTGTTGCTCCTCCACCTGCTGCTCCTCCCCCTAATCCTCCACCTGCTGCTCTTCTCCCCGTTGCATGCCCTCCTTATGCTCCTCCACCGGCTGCTCCTCCTCCCCCTGATCCTCCCCTTGCTCGTCCTCCCCCTGCTCCTCGCCCTGCTCCTCCTCCCTGTGCTCCTCCTCCCCCTGCTCCTCCACCTGCTGCCCCACCTGTTGATCCTACACCTGCCGCTCCTGTCCACGCGGATGAGTCTGGGATCGCAATCCAGATCGTGTGCCTAGAACATACGGGGCGTCCTCTCTCCTCGTCCAAGACCTGTTAGAGTCCAACCTCTCGTCCACCCACTCATCGCTGGGAATGTCATCCTCCACCTGCTCATCGTCCTCATCCTCAGCCTCATCCTCCTCGTCGTCGTCCTCCTCCTCGACCTCCTCTGCATGCCCCAATCTCTGCACGGACCTCGATGTCGATGGCGCAGCTGGATCATGGCGAACAGTGGTGCTGCCCACCGCAGAACTGGTGCCCCCAACAGCAGACCCGTAGTCATCAACGACCTCGATGACATTCTCCATGTCACCCCCCAAGTCCTCGTCCTCTTAATCAGCTGAGAGGCCCAACCACCCTCCTGCTATCGTGGGCCCGTCATCCCCCCTGCTCTTTAGCTCAAACTCCAGTGCGAGGACACCAATTTGTTGGTGCGCTGGTGGTGCAACTTGTTCCTGCTCTTCGTTTGCACGAGAGCCCAAGTGCTCCAGTTCCTCTTAGCAGGACAGGAAGTCGTCCAGATGGACAGCACCCTGATTGCCAGCTCGCGGATCTCCGGATGCCCCGCCCCGTGCGCCTCCCACTACAAAACAACATTGTCCCTCGCAACCCGTTTCTTTGCTTGAGGGGTGTCGAGGACTCCTCTCCCGAACCGGAAGTCATACAGCTGGTCCATGCAGTCGTCGAATCTCGTGCTGCCCCTCTTTCCAATCAGCCTCTCCACCACACTCTCAAACTGTGGCATGCGGTCGACATTGCTGACAACAGTAATGTCCTGCAATTGAGGATCCAACAACCGAGCAACAGCGTGGATGGGGCTGAGCAGCATGTTTGTCTTGTTCCCGACGTCTACGAGGATGCCATCTCGTTGCTCTGTAGTAAGGGGGGCTGATTGAACGAAGTTGGGCAATCTGCACACCATATCGTAGATGAGCGACAAGCAGTGAACATTTTTGTCGACCTCGCACAACACATCGTAGGGGCCCTTCATGACGACAGTCAACTTCCTGGCGTCAACCCAGAAGGTCTTGTCAAGAACTGTCTCCTCCACGAAGAAGGCTTTGGCCCTGATGTCCCCTCGCCACACCTGCGCCTCCCATTCCTGCCCCGTGACAATCCGTCTGATGGCCTTCTCGCACACCTCCAGCCGTTGCAGCATCACGTAGTGTGTCCCGAACCTCGTCTGCGCCGGTCTGAGGAGGCAACTGCAATTCAAGTCCGGGAACTTAACAAATGTCGTTCGCAACGTTGATCCCGGCGACCTGTGAACCCGAAAGAAGTTGATCACTCTGTTTGCCTTACTGATGATCTCAACTACCCACTCCTTCTTGCAAATGTCCTACATGAGGAGGTCCATGCAGTGAGCGGTGCAAGGGATCCAGTATATCTGGCTAAACTCAGGGTCCTCCCTCAGCATCCTCGCAACACTCGTGTTGTCCGCAATGGAGTCTGTGCAGATAGCCGTGATCTTCTCCACCCCCCACTCCCTGAAAAACCGCTTCCATCTGGCAACGACAGCTGCAGAGTCCTTGTCCCCTTCGCTGACATCCTCGCACTTGATGAAAACAGGTTTCGAGCGACATGCGAGGATGTGGTTCATGAGCGATCGACCACAAATATTTGTGGTCCCATCGGTTACGAACGTGCAGCCAGTGACCTGCCAGTCTTCATGGATCTTCTGGTCCTCGTCCTCCAACCTCTTGTTCAGGCGATCCAGCAATCGACACCTGAGAGGGTTGTACCCAGTAGGCACAAGAGGGTGACTTGCTGCAGGTTGTGGCCCGTAACATGCCCGCATGAACTTCTTGAAGCTCCTGCTCTTCGCGACGTTGAACAGGATCGCGTTCTCCATGAAGAACTCGCAGCAGGAGTCATTAATCTCCTCCTGCCTTGGGTTCTTTGTGAACCTCTTGATGCTCGTCTGCCTCCTTGTCCTGTGTTTGCGGACCCCCTGCGTCACATCCTGCGAGGACGCAAGCCTCCCTCCACCGCCGGATCCTCCGGTCACAACACCCCTCGTCCCCTTATCCGTTGCCTCCTCACCCTCCCCACCGCGTGCCTCCTCTGGCTCAGCAGCAATCCCACCTCCGCCTCCGTTTCCATCACCTGCCACATCAGAAACGTCGTCGTCGTCCTCGTCCTCGTCCCTGTCATGCTCCAGTGTCGTTTGCACCCTCGCGAGCAAATCCGGTGGCAGTTTCGCACCGACACGATGCTGCCTCTTCCAAATTGAGAGGTTCGAACCCGGACACGTGGCCGATGCCCTCGCCAGGATGAAGTGCTCTGCTGCACGCTTCCTGTTCCCTTTGTACTCCTTGTTGCAGATCTTGCAGCGAAGTCTTCTAGACCCGCGAGAATTGCTTGGCAGCATCTGCCCAGGAGTCACCCAAGTCCACACGACATGGTCCCTCAGGCAGGCCATGTCCTCCTCGAATGGCCCCTCCGCCCCGTCCGCTATGTCACCCGACGGTATGCGCACCAAGTGGCAATGTGGGGGGCGCAAACGCGCGGCTGCTGCATCGGGAACTGCTGACGTGGCACATTCTCACGAGGCAGTTGCTGACTTGGCACCTGCTGGCGTGGCGACTGCTGACGTGGCGACTGCTGACGTGGCACCTGCCGACGTGCGAGGTGCTGACGTGCCACCTTCCCATGTCGTAGTTGTGGGCGTGGCATCTGCTGACGTGGCAGTTCCTGACGTGGCACCCGCTGACTTAGCAGTTGCGGACGTGGCACCTGCTGACGTGGCACCGGCTAACGTAGCAACTGCTGACGTGGCAGTTCCTGACATGGGTCCTTCTGGCACAGCTGCTCCTATCGTTGGCAGCATCTGGGGTGGCAGATGCACACCCTCCTGCTGCAGTGCCGGCTGTGATCCCTGCGCAGACGTGATAGGGAGCAAGGATGTAAGAATCAGAAATATCTAAAAAGAAGAAAAAAAAACAAAAAAGACATGGAGGACGACGACAGGAGGAAAAAGAAGAAATAGAGGAATAAGAGATGGAGGTTGACGAGGAGGAGGGAAGAAAATGATGAAGTACAAGAAGGGAGGATGGGAAGAAGAAGAAGAAGAAGAAGAGGAGGAGAATAGGAGGAGAAGACGACGAGGAGAAGAAGAAGAAGAAGAAGAAGAAGAAGAAAAAGAAGAAGATCATTATGAAGCAACAAGAAGAAGAAGAAGAAGAAGAAGAAGAAGAAGAAGAAGAAAAGATGGCGAGGAGGAGGAGAGGGAGAAGAGGAGGAGGACAAGAAGAAGAAGAAGAAGAAGAAGAAGAAGAACAACAACAACAAAAGATGGCGAGGAGGAGAAGAGGAGGAGGAGAAGAGGAGGAAAAGAGGAAGAGGAGGAAAAAAGGAAGAGGAGGAGGAGAAGAGGAGGAGGAGAAGAGGAGGAGGAGAAGAGGAGGAAAAGAGGAAGAAGAGGAGGAGAAGAGGAGGAGAAGAAGAAGAAGAGGAGGAGGAGAAGAGGAGGAGGAGGAGGAGAAAAGTTCTGATTGATTGATTGATTGATTGGTCGGTCGGGACCTCCTCCTCCTCCTCCTCCTCTTCCTCCTCCTCCTCAATTGGGACCTCCTCCGTCGTCGGGAACTCCTCCGTAGTCGGGACCTCCTCCGTCGTCGTCGTCGTCGTCATCAGACGAGGAGGAGGAGGAGGAGGAGGAGGTGCCGACCGACCAATCAATCAATCAATCAATCCCGTCGAATCCATTGATTCGACAGGATCTTGAACTGTCAAGATCCTGTCCAATCAATAGATTCGATGGGATTGATTGATTGATTGATTGATTGATTGATTGATTGGTCTATCGGGACCTCCGACGACGACGATGACGACGACGACGACGAAGGAGGTCCTGACGACGGAGAAGGTCCCGACGACGGAGGAGGTCCTAACGACGGAAGAGGTCCCGACGACAGAGCAGGGCCTGATGGAGGAGGAGGAGGAGGTCCCGACTCCCGACCGACCAATCAATCAATCAATCAATCAAAGTCGAATCCCGTCGTCAGGACCTCCTCTCCCCCCTCCTCCTCGATCGGGACCTCCTCCGTCTTCTTCTTCTCCTCCTCCTCCTCGTCCTCCTCCATTATCCCGTCGGTTTAGACGTCAGAAACCCGGCTCTCCTCTTTTTTTTTTTTCCACCTATAAGAAAAAGAAGAAGAAGAGGAGGAGAAGAGAAGGAGGAGGAGTAGGAGGAGGAGGAGGAGAAGAAGAAGAAGAAGAAGAAGAAGAAGAAGAAGAAGAAGAA